GGTGAAATTGCCAGTGAAAGGGAAGACCCAGGCCAAATCAATAAAGCATACGCAGTCGTCGACATGCTCCCCCTGCTCCTTATTTACTGACCTCAAGCCCTCAGTGAGTGCAAAGACCAGCCGGCCTGATCTGTAATGCAGAGCAGAGCTCTAATGAACTGCCAGGGCAACAATACCACTGCCTCTCTCTCGCTCTCTCTCTTCCTTCCTCTCTCTCTCTCTCTCTCTCTCTCTAAACGGAGCGCTGTTCTATGCCACGACAGTGACCCTCCAGAGTGGCGTCTACTTTGCACTGCAATGACAAGCTTCATTTAAACCTATACTCATACTAACAGAGTTTTTGGTGGCGGGGGGCTCGTGACAGGTCGCTGTGATTAACGAAGCAGGTTCTTAATGTCACATTCATTCATATGTCATTAATCCCTCTTTAATGAACTCAGCCTTGTATAATTAGTCACATCACTGACATGAGCCTGCAGATTTGACAGGCTTCGCTGTCAGGAATGTCACACAGGCGCGACTGTAAAACATCGCCTCCAAGGAGTCTTGCTGATATCCTCTGACCATTATAAGCATCGCATTTACTAAGAAAAAAAAAAGATCATGGATCAGCTGCACTGAGTTAGCTCTAAGCACAATTATCTCCGTTAGTAATGCGCATCCTATTAGTTATCCAACCTCAATGGTCCATTCTGTGATTGACAGCTGAGAAGAAAGTGTCCCAGGCTTTCAACTAAATCCATTTAAAGGTGGCCAAAGCTAACTTTTAGAAGCCATCTGTATGCCAGGACCAGCTGTAGACAGCAGGGGACTCTTTTTTTTGTTGGAAAGGTACTGCTTCCATCCAAAGAAAACATAGCCCAGAGCACAGATGTTGCAAACATAAATAATGTTACATGCTCAAGCTGTGCAATCGCAAGATGTTTTTGAGAAATTACTTATGAAACAGCACAAAAATGGTTAAAACAGAAAACTAAAGAAAACAAGTCTTAACAGGGATTACATGTACTGTACACTCTTTTGTATGATTGTCTCATAAACACAAAAAAGCAGCTTTAATTGGATTGAGTTGAAAAGGTCTTGGAAAGCTGTGATATCTAAACAGTGTCCACACTATAGGTCAATAAGCTCTGAGTGGACTGTGCTGCTCACACCTTATACATATTTATTTTTGTTTATCTAACAAACTCTGTAAAACACGTGTGATGTTGTTTGTACTGGGGCCGATCTTATTCGCCATAACCTTCAAAAAAAGAGCTGTAACTGGCACCTTCCACCTCAACCTCTGTGACTATTCATATAGCAAAGAGTCATAGTTGCCACGTTCTATTTAGAGCTGTGAAAATGAATGTAGTATTTTTCTGTACATCAGTAAAGGTTTCCGTATATGGTGTTGGAGAATGTGTGCCATAGCTGGGAGGAGAGTGAAGGGTCAGTGTGGAGGAGGGGGTGCATTATCATCAGTACAATAACATACTCCTCTATCTCTTGGGGGTGGCTGCATCCTTAAGCCCTAATGGTGAGATTCTTTAAGCGACCTGCCTCAGTCTCATTACAGCCTCTCTTGCTGCCTCAGAGAGGGTCTCCCTCCCCCCAAACAAACACACACACACACACACACACACACGTGTACAAAAACACACAAGAGCACAGAAGCCAGAAGCAGCTCGTTGGCACAGAGACTACAGGGTGATATATCAGATCAAGACACAAATAAATGTATCAAATGTTGCAGGTTTATAATTTTACTTATTATTTCTGGTCTGAGTGGTGAAGCGACAACATGATTCTGTTTCAAGTTCAGAACTGATGTGTCTCATCTATTCGTCCATTTCTTGATCGTGCAAGAGCGTAAAATGCTCAAGAACAGGCTTTATTCATTTTAATTTGAATTGTACTTTTAATTAATTTTACCTATTTGACCTTATGAAAGAAAGAATCTTTCTTCTGTGTACAAATATTTTTAAAGATATTATTGGGAATTTTAAGGATATTTGGGGATTTTCTTACATTTTTTTTTCTTTCAAAAAGAAAACAAACAATAACCAATGGCCACACAATTTAAAAATCCTCATTAGATTATAAAATATGTTCAAAATAAAGCAGTTGATCAAAATATATTTTATATGTTTTGTTTTTTAGTCAGCTGGACTTATCGTTAATGGTTGTTGATATTCACTTATGCTGGTTCGTTTCTCTGGGCCTTCACAAGCTAGAAATTTGAAGTAACTGAAGCATTGCAAGTTTTAGTTGAATACCTCTGGACTAGGGCTTCCACACTGACAGAGACCTCTGCAGAATTGCTCTGCATTCACAAAAAGAGAATTAGTATTAATTCTTATTAGACATTGCTTTGTTGTTACTGGTCACAAAACCAATGTTAATGTTAATGTCACTGATTCAAGATGGGCCCCACCCTCTTAGAGATCTGACTGGCCCATGTAGAGCAGTTCTGCTTTAAACCTGCCACCCCCCAAACCGAAGTGCACACATTATTGCTAATGTTTTGATGGAGAAAACAGAGTGGGAATATTTATGTGGAGCTACAAAATGACATACAGACCACTTGACTACTTTGTATATTTCAAAGTGAAATAGGCTATTTTATAGGGCACACAGTGTGTCACTTGTAATGTATTCAAGCAGCATACCTTTTATTTTGTATGTAGCTTTATTATGATTCATAACTGCAAACAGGAGCTCATAAGTTTTCTCTCTTTCAATGATCCACACAAAACCTACTTTACCCTAACCTAAGAGCTCCCCCTTGTGGAGAAACTTCAGTCTGCTTAACGTGTGTGAGTGAGTAATGGGTCAGGTCAGTGAGGTGCTTGGTGTTAGAAAAAACAAGAAGTTTAATATCTGATTATTGCATGCAGTTACAATAAGAAATGATTGTCTGATTTAGTGGTTTATCTTTGTGTTTTAGGCATAAGTGATTTAAATATCAGTTATCAACATACACTGTACCAATTTTTTGGGTCCATACATTCTTTGCTGCACACTACGCAAAAACAACATAAGATATATGTAACCAATGATAGTAAACAAATACTAAGATGAGTTGGTCAGATTCACCTTAGCGGGGGCCAATGTAAAATTTTGCTGTCTACTGTCAGCCCTTGAGCCAGCGCTGCTTAAAAGCACACCCAGGTCTGTGTGCTCAGACACACAAGAACACACAAATAAGTACAAACACGCGCACACACAAACCACAGACACGTGCACATGCAAACAACCTCTCTTATTCACTTACAGCATCCACTGCCTGTGAACTCCTACTGTGAGCATGAGCATACATACACTGTGTACAGACATCTGCTTCCACACCCTCATGACGTACGCAGCCTTATTAGAGTGTACATTAAAAACTGCCTCTAAAGAGCATAAGTACCATCTTATCTCCTTGGAAATGCAGGTAAACACAAATGTCTATTTATCCAGATTTTTTTCCAGCACACATACTTGTGCATGCCCAGTACACATCCTCTCACAAACCCACCCACACAAACCAATTGAGCAATGCACAAACTGATTGAGCAATGCAGCGTACAATACAATAACACTCTCTAGAGAATATAAACGTGACTTCAACCTCCTTACACTGCTAGTACACGCAAACACTCATATTTATACTACCCTCATGTGGTATTTGGCCAAACAGCTACTGAAACGAGAAAAAAAATGGCAAAAGAACAAGGTTTAGTCCAGTGATACGTTAAGTAATACAGGAAGTCCTTGCGAGAGTATTTTTAAACTGAAATTCGACCCAGTCCGGCACTCATAGCCCACTTAATAGATTAAGCAGCTGTGTTTACATTCATGCTTCACATGCGCTGGCTTCTGCTTTCAATATAGCCTAGCTTGTCTTATTTTTACCTAATATACTGTCTTACAATAAGTGCCAGACTTGAGGCACGTTAAAGTGAGAGAAGCTGTGTTGTTAAACGAGGACATACATTAAAGGAGAATTCCACAGATTTTTCAAAATTTCTGTACACTCCAGTGGTTCACATGTAAACAAAGTCATATGGACTGGCTTGATGTGAAATGTTTCATTGAGAAACTTAATGACTCATATTTTCTTTTCAGTGTAAGTGATAGGAACCAGAGATTGTCATGTCTACAACACAAATATAGCCTTTTTATTTACTATCCAAAACCATCAGTGAACCTACCCATGTCTTTTGAGCTTTTATATGTAATGTTTTTAGTGGTAAAATAGTAATAAATCTGGAAAAATGTTTTCTTTGAGGACTATTTTGCCTTATAACACCCTGCATGTACCCCTCCACTATGAATGGCTTTTAAAAGATATATTTCAGGCCAACACCTTATCTCAAAAACGTAGCAAAACAATGTTTCAGGCATCAGGCAGTGTATTTTCCGACATTTCGTGTAACAACTTTCTTTGAGGGTGCTTTAAAAAGGCATGCAATAGTTAAGACATCTGGCTCCTATCACCACCACTGTGAATAACCCTGACTCTGTAAATTTCTCTAGAACGAAGCATTTCACGCCAGGCCGCTCTGAATTACTTTGTTTACATCTTAACCATTTAATTATGCAGAAATTTTGAAAAATCGGTGGCGTTCCCCTTTAACGTGGCTAGGGGCCCCTCGCCGCGCTACGCCGCTAGCTCCAAATTGGTAGCACATGTTGTTTGCTTAATTTCTCCCCAAAACGCTTGACCTGCAGCTGTTAACAGGGTTCACACGCAGCATAACAGCTACGAAAGAAGCCTCCTTAAGTTTTTCTCCCTCCTTTTCCTCGAAACTGGACGGCACGGTGGGGGTTCCAGTTTGACCCAAACCCGTCCCAAAATTAGCCAGTAGGCTAACTTAGCTCGTTAGCACAGCTCGGTTTGTAAACTTCCAGAAAGTTCTCTCAGGTTAAACTGACAGCTAGTAGCGTTGCGCTGGCCGCGTTGCTATGACGACGAGCTGAGAGTGGCAGACAGGCTGCGTTTCTAAAGCAGCGCAGACTGCGATTCCTCTTACTGTCAGAGAGATTCATGCTGGGCTTCATCTCCGGGCAACTCATCAGCATCTATTTCGAACTACTGACTGTGTTCATTAGGCTCCGGCTGATCCTTATTCCGTGTGGATTTCTAGCCGCCCTCGCCGCTGAACGGTCCATAACCGGTAAATTATTTGTAGTGAGCAGCGCAGCCCCTCCGCGTCTTGCTGACTGTGTCAAAGTTTAGCCGGTCCCTCTTCCCTCTGCACCGCGTTCAGTAAACAAGCGAGCGCTGGACACACAGGTCAAGGGTTGAATACACCAGAGGACGCGCACAAGAACATTTTTGTCAACTTAGCGAAATGTCGAAATGAGGAGGAGCTGGAGAGAACAGGACTGCGGTTCCTCCACACTGGCCTCCTTCCTCCTCATTATTGCCCTTCGCCCTCTCCTCCTCTGTCCAGCGTGCGAAGGACCGCGGCAGCACAAACATGCTGGAGGCCATCGAGATGCAGCTCTGCTCTGCTCTTCCGCTAGCTTGGAGGTGGGACTTTCTTGGCAGAATAAGCTCACTATAGTGTTGAATTAATTCCTTCAGTTAAAATTATCCTAATTTAATAGAATAGTTAAACGTTTCTGCTCAAGAACTGCCCTAGACTTCCACGAGGAGACAACAAAACTGCAGTAAGAAACTCTAATATGCTGCTAGTGCAGCAACACAGTAGGTTATCGATCAGCCACTGTGCTGTTATTTTCGTCTTTTAGTAAAAACCAATAAAGAACAGAACATGTCAGCTAATCTCATAACTCACATGGGACTATTTTGCTGCTTTATACAGGTTTGAATGGTGTAGGTAAGTTAGTAATACGGTTATGTACCATCACATTACACTTTTCTAACCGGTAACTCAAACTAGCATGGCCAGCATGCTAGCTGTAAAGCTAATAGCTGAATAACGGTTCTATTTTATTATGGACAACTGATTTTTTTAATGAAAGGGCTTGATATATGGAAAGTTTCAAAACACAGCATTCACTCTTCAGTTCATGTGGCCCATATTTAGTGACTAAGCTGCAAAAACCAGCCCATTTTTTGATGTCACCATATATATATCTACAAATCTATTCAGTATACAGCAGTTTAGGTCCACCCATTCACACTGAAGTTAAAAAGAGTTTTTTAGTCTGCTTCATGTACGAGGCAATACAGGGCAGCCAGTTAGAACAGAGTTCATTTACATAAGCCAGTCTTAAAGACACAGTAACTAAAAAGTCTAATTGATTTTAAGTGATAAAGGTTGTAGTTTAAAAATGAATTTGTTTTTCGTTTATAAAACCACATAAGTACAAACATATTGGCCTCTGGGGGAAAAAATACAAGAAAAACGTAGGATATGAGCCCTTAAAAAGTCTCTTACAAAAAAAGTGCTCGTACCTATCATGTTGTATTATTTAATTATTAATTAACATCATTAATATTAATGAAACATTGCTTTACCAACATACTAATCTTATTTCATACTATTATTATTACTAGTATTATTGTTACAGTTTTATTAGTATTACATTTGGTTACTCCTGTGTTTTGCTTCAAAACGAAGTCTGGGCTTTTCATAGAGTAAAAAGGTGACATCATTTCATCAGTTGCTGTATGTGTGCCAAGCATGACTGAGTCAATTGAGTCAATGTTGTTAGTGAGTAAAACATTCTCAGCTTCTCATATGCTGTAACCTACGCCAGATAACTACCATGAAATGAACTTTATTATGAAAGGATATAACATGACATGATGCAATAGCGGTATTCATGTTTTTCTCTGACCCTTTTTTTTCTCCTTGGCCTCTCTGTGCACCACACCAGTCACTCAGTTTAGCATGTCAATTGAAAATACACTTCTGAACCTTCTATTCTCTAAAGGGGGCTGGTCTGAATGGCTTATTTCCCCAGCTGTAGTACAGTCGGCATGACAACCCCAGATTCATCACTGTGTTTTTTCCTTCAGTGTGCTGCTACACTCTTTGGTATTTGTCGTTAAGGTCAGTTTCCGAGCTTTTGCTTAGCTGGAACTGACAGGTCAGGAGACGTTTGGGCCTTCCCAAAACCCCAGGGCCTGGCTGGACACAGATGGGTCCAGTCCAGGGCTCTCTCGCTGCCTATAGCCTGGCCCTGGAGCTTGCTTGCTGGGACGATGCAGGGAGCTTTTCAGGGATTCTGCCAGCTGATCCCTCCAGCGAGGTGTCCTGCAGCCGACAGCGCCCATCAATAATTCACCCCCTCCCTTAGCCAACGTGTATGGTCCTCCAGGCAACACAGAGGTGTGCTAACCTTGAGCGTTCCCTCATTCACTCCTCCACTGGAGCCCACACTGGACTTTTAATGGAATCCTGCAGCACAGCTGAGTAAACTGGGGCTAACCTTGGTGATAAGAAGATAAGCGGACTTTCCTCTGATGATTGGGTGCTATTATTGAGCCCCTTACCTGGCTGATCGCAACCTCCAACCCAGGGATAAAATCCTCCAGTACATTCCAGATAAAAGCCAGGCAAGGGCAATCCAAACAATCAAAAGAATCAAATGAAAGGTTGATTGGTACAGGTCAGAAGTGATCTGTAAAACATGTTCAGCCTTCTACATATATGGAACATCCAAAATGGATTAACTATTACTGCATTAAAATGGAATGAAAGAAATACTCCAGCATTTTTCAACATAATCTCTGCCTGGCACATATGTAGCACACAGTTGATTACCACAGAAAGTCTGTTTCTTAAAAGAAAAAACATATTCAACTCAGAACATATTTATAACAGAGACCTATGGAATAATACTTCAGTAGCTGCTGTTTGGTATAAAAGAAACTAATATCACAAGGCTAACTAGTTAAACACTGGGTGCTGAATGGTGGCAAAATTTACAGCAAAAAAGGGTATGCCCCCTAAAAACCTGTTCCCAAATCCCTGAAGTCCAGTGCTGTTTTATTGTCCAGAGTACAATTGATAATGACACGTCTGCATGCTTATTTGCTGTTTTTTTGGGGGGGACTTTTTAGCCATGATAACTTGTGTTACATCCATGTGCTAATGACAGGCTTGTTGTCTGTCAGACAATGTTGACGAGCGCACCATCGCCCCTTACTTTGAGCTCCACCTTCATGAGGCATTGGATTGGTTTAGAAATCTTAAGATTACTTCTGGCCCTGAAAGACTAAAGATGTGGCAGATGGGTTGAAAAATAAGTCTTTCTTCAACGTAATATCATGTTGGCCATGACAGGCACATGCATACAAACTATTCCGATTCTTGGAGTGTGGGCTTCTTAAATAGAGAGAGAGTGCAAGTTAAATAGGACCTAATCTCTCAGACTCAATAGCCTTTAGCAGCAGGGGGGGCAGCTGAAGCCCAGCTTGCCTCACAGTTACAGGCAAGCATTAACACAGGGTAAAGTCCCACAGGTCAGAACACACACACAAACCGCTACCCTATACCACACCCCCATACTGCTCCCTGTGTACAAATGCCTTTGCTGTCAGCTCTGGCCAGGTTTGCTGTAATTGAAAAGAACAGCCACGGGCCAGCCCACAACCACACTGCACCGGGCCGCTGACAGCCAGCCATCAATACCAATGACTGTTCCTCTACAAGTGCCAGAGGAGCAGATGACATCCAAGACGCCACCCATGCAACACCCGCCCCGTCAGCCTCCACCCCACACACATACACCTCCCACCCCCCTGGTGTCCTTCCACCGCCACCCGAGCCTTCCAATTCTTAACCCATTGGTCACCACGGTTACCGAACGAGGGAGCCCGTCATACCCTTTCTTCACCCTCATAAAACCCGCATATGCACGCACACAAATTCATGACAACGATCAAACTTTTCTAAGCCGATGTAGAGAAAGAGCGCTGGCTACTCGTAAGCATCCTCCTCCTTCTTCATCATACACACACACAGACTCACACGCGCACCTTTCTGACAGTGTGTCAATATTTAACCCAGAAAAACACTCTGTCTGTCTCAACACTCAGGAGCTTCAAGTTCTCTCCAACACTCTGCATCAGTGTGACAGCAAAAAAAAGTCCAAACATTTACCTACAATGTGAGTGATACGAGAGCAAATACAACTCTGGCAGAACTGCCGAGATGCTGCTCAATTATACTCTTCCAAACAAATGCTTTAAAGAGAACTACGGTGGAAATGAAAAGATATTTCTTACTTTATTCCTGATATACCACCTGCACAGTGTCGCTTGTAATGCTTATGGAAAATGTAAGGCAATAGTGAAGAAGAAGTGATCTGATTTGTCATTTGACATGACACTACAATGACAGCTGAACAAGATGCACAGTGACACTGACAAAGCAGCCAAAACAAGAAAAGAACAGAGCAGAACAGGAACACATAAGAAAAAATAGGAGTGAAAATACAGATACAGACCTGATCGGGAGCTGCAGAGCGGCAGAAAGTGTCTTCCTTATACAGTCCGCTCTCTCTGTCTGTCTCCCTCTCTCTCTCTCTCTCTCTCTCTCTCGCTTTCCGAGACTCCCTCCCCTCTCGGCTCCTCTCAGCTGCTCTGGGTAGTTCTCAGGAAATGAATGGGGGCTCACAGAGAACTGTTGTACTTGCAAATGACTTACCACAGTCACATGATCCGCTAAATGTAGGGTGGGCCAGTGGGTGGAGGCTTCATAAGCAAGAGAAGACAATATACTCTAAGCTTTAACAGCGTGCATCGAATTACACGGGGCCCCTCGTGGGAGGTTTCCGACATGTCTGCTCCGCTCCCTCCCGCCTCTGTGTGAGCCACGGCAGCCGAGGCACGGTAGAGTACCTCCCCGCTTAAAGGGGAGGGCAGAGAGAGAGAGCGAGAGAGAGAGAGAGACTTTCTTCCTACTGACAGTGGAAGAAAGCTTAACCTGCTGTGTGAAATGTCAAAGAATATGACAAAAGCAGAAGTTTGATGGGGAGAATGTTCAAATGGGAGCAGTAAAGAGAAGTCTTTATTCTGTTTTGTAGGCTCACAATATCACTCGTTTTTCTGACATTTTTCATTACTGTCAGATGACTTTTATCATTTTTCACATACAAAACAGAAGCATAGAAAAACAGAATACAGATGAAAACTCACATCACATTGGATAAATATATCACAAACTTCAATGCAGTTTAGTCCTGAATCCTAAATGCTGCACTAAATTATCTTTAATTTCTGTACTATATTATCATTAAAGAGTAAACATTAATATGCTATGTGATATTAGTATGCGAACACTCAAATTTCACATTCAGCATC